ATCTATTTAACTTTCTTCACATACAGAGACCACTCCATCCTACCCTCAAACCCCAGAAAACCACTGATCTCTTTGCTATTGTTATAGTATTGCCTCTTCCAGAACATCATATAAATGAAATCACAATATGTAGCCCTTTCACACTAGTTTCTTTTATTTAGCAACAAGCATTTAGGATTCATCATGTCTTTTCTTGGCTCATGTTTTAAATAGCTAAATAATATTCCATTGCATGTATATACCACAGTTTGTTTATCCATTAACCTATCAAAGGACATTTTAGTTGTTTCCAATATTTGGCAATTATGGATAAAGCTGCTACAAATATTTGTGTGTGGGTTTTGTGTGAACATAGTTTCCAAAGTTGAGTAAATACCTAGGAGCATGGTTGCTGGATTATATGGACCATATGGCTTTGTAAAAAATTGCCAAACTGTTTTCCATAGTTGTACTATTTTGTATTCCTACTAGCAGTGAAAGAGCATCCCTGTTGCCTGACATCCTTGCCAGAAATTGGTATTCTCTATTTTTTTTAGATTTTAGTTATCCTAATAGCCACATAGTAGCATCTTGCTGTTTTAATTTGCAAATCCCTAATGACAAATGATATTGAGCTCTTTTAATGTACTTATTTGCCATCTATATATTTAGAGATGTTTATTCAGATCTTTTGAATATGTTTTAATTGAGTCTGTGTTCTTATTTTTTAGTTTTAAAAATTATTTTTATAGTTTGAATACAAGTCCTTTTTCAAATATGTATTTTACAAATATTTTCTCCCAGTCTGTGACTTTTCTTTTGATTATTTTAACACTATGTTTCCCCAAACAGGAGTTTTTAATTTTTTAAAGTCCAGTGTATCAACTTTTTCTTTCATGAATCATCCTTCTGGTGTATCTAAAAATTCATCACAAAACCAAGGACATCTAGATTTTCTCCTATGTTATTCTAGAAGGTTTATAGTTTTATGTTTTACATATAGGTCTACAATCCATTTTGAGTTAATTTTGTTAAATGTGTAAAATGTTGCATATGGATGTCCAACTGTTCCAGAACCATTTGTTGAAAACACTGTCCTTTTTCCATTTAACTGCTTTTACTCCTTTTCAAAGATAGATCAGTGAGTATTTTTATGTGGGTTTATTTCTGGACACTCTATTCTGGTTCTTTCATCTATATATTTATTCGTTTTTTTTTAAGTTTATTAGGGTAACATTGGTTAATACAATTATATGATCTATATATTTATTCTTTTGCCAATAGTGTGCTCTCTTAATTATTACAGATTTATTGAAAGTCTAGAAATAGGGTATTGTAATTTCACCAGCTTCCTCCTCCTCTTCCTCTTCAGTTTTATGTTGGCTATTCTAGGTCTTTTGCCTTTCCATATAAACTTTAGAGTCAGTTTGTCAATATCTACAAATAGATTGCTGGAATTTTGATTGGGATTATTAAATCTATAGATTAAATTAGGAAGAAGTGACATCTTAACACTATTGAGTCTTTCAATTCATGAACAAAGAATACCTCTCTATTTATTTAAAATTTCTTGGATTTCTTTAATCAGATTTTTAGAATTTTCCACATACAGATCCCGTATATATTTTGTCAAGTTTATATCTAAGCATTTCATTTTTTTTGGTACCATTGAAAATTGTATTATTTGTTTAATTTCAAATCTAGTTGTTCATTGCTAGTATATAAGAAATAAATTGACTTCTGTATAGTAATTTTGATCCTGTGACCTACTATATTCACTTATCAGTTCCAGGATTTTTGTTGTTGTCGATTCTTTGGGAATTCCACATAGAAAATTATATCATCTGTTTCAAAAAATGTTTTCTTTTTTTCCTTCCCAATTTGTACTCTTTTTATTTCCTTTCCTTGTATTGGTGCACTAGCTAGGACTTTTAGTACAATGGTGAATAGAAGCAATTAGAGGACATCTTTGGTTCGTACCTGATCTTATAGGGAAAACACCCAGTTTCTTACCATGATATTAGCTATAGGTTTTTTTGTAGATGTTCTTTATCAAGTTGAGGTACTTATCCTCTATTCCTAAGAGCTACATGTTTTATATTTTTTCAAACCACTTTCTCCAGTTGTAATATTCTGCTGTTTGTGGTATCTCCTGACTTTTGCTCGTTGATCATTTTCGTTTGTGCTTTGTAATGTTGATTATGAGAGTTTTGTTTTGTTTTCCTATGGAATTGCTGTCCTCTGCTCATGAAGATGTACCCATATAGAAATGATAAAGTCCAACATTCTAATCACTGAATTCACTTAAATAGATTTCCTGAGCAGGATTTCAAAGCAAGTAATCATTTAAGTTCACTCTTTAATATTCTTTTAAAACCTTCTATCATTTCATGCCCCTAGGGTATAAATTTGGGGGGTTAGCAATGGATCTGGATTCAGTTTCTTATTCAATTATTTGGCTAGTTATACAGTCCTGACAAAGTTCCTTAATTTCAAAGATCTTTAATCATACCATTTCTTATATAAAAATTAAAAAATGGTAACATTCGCCATTTATTTTTACTCAAAGGAGTTTAGAGAAAACTCAATATCTTTATATTATAAAATATGTGAACTCCTTGAATGGTGCTATGAATAGACTCTAAGGTGACACCCTGATTCTCCACCTCCTGATGTTCATGCCTTTGTGTAATCCCTGCTTCTTGAGTGTGAGTGGGTCCTGTGACTTGTGTGTAACAGAATATGGCACAGTTAATAGGATGTCACCCTGCAATTATGTTCTGCTATATGGCAAAAGTGATAGGATGCCATTCCTGTGGTTACACTGCATTATTTAAGACTCTGTCTTACTTGCAGTCTCTCTTTCTATTGCTGGCTTTTAATAAGTAAGCTGCTATGAATCTTATGGCCACAAGAAAATGATTCTAACAACCCGAGGGAATTTAGTAGTAAATCCTTTCCCAGTCAAGCCTTCAAGAAAGAACTCAATCCTGGGTGACACTTTAATTGCAGCCTTGTAAGACACTGAGCAGACCCAGCTAAGCTGTGCTCATACTCCTGACTCACAGAAACTTTGAGATAATATATATGTTTTAAGCCTTTAAGTTTGTAGTAATTTGTTAAATAACAACAGAAAGCTAATACAAATGCAAAGCCTCATTTAGTCAGTAATGCCTTTTAAGAACCTCAAAGGGAGTCAAATAGGTGTCAAGAAGTCACCCC